CTTTTCTATTGTCGAATACAACAAATGATGAGAAAATCAATTTACTCTTTAGAATTAGTCAAGTGAGGAATCCTTTGAAGTGGGGGTGCAGAGTTTTGCCTGGGTTCTCTAATCACATAAAAGCGGGTACTGTATATACGTTGGTAAAATGTTGTGAAATTTAATGAGGACTATTTGCTGCCATCGACCTTCCAGACAGAAACTATCTCTGAAAAAGAATTCCCCACTCCTAAAATAGAGGTCTGATGAGCAGCAGATGTGGTTTAAATGAACCCTTGTTCAACTGAACTAAGAATATATTTTGATCTGTATGAGGCACAGGCCAGAAAAGGGGGTGTTGGGGGTGGGGGGATTATATCACAGCCTTGGCCTTGGGCTTGGTGGTGAGTTTGAATATATTTATTTGCCCCATAAAGTTTCTCTTGTAAGGCCGAATGCAAATGAGCTTTTAGTGAATAGTTTCTAATAGTCAGAGGATGCCATACATGCTCTGCTTACGAAACAATTTACAGTTTTACTTTGTCGTCTCAGAATGTGTGGAGGAAGGAAATTCAATGGGCAGGCATAACCTTTAGAGTGATCTGTGCCCTGACAATGATTTGCAAGTTCCACAACTTTTTGTCTCTCCACCCATAAAGGGAAGATTAGATCGTTGTTCAAGAATGACAAGCATTTAATATTTGGAAATGACTAAATAATGAAGGGCCTGGAGTCTATAGAAATGCAGAGGAGAAAAGAAGATTAATTTCCAGCCAAAATCTAGTACAAACATGACCTTCCTATTGTAAATCTCATGAATAGGAAAGAAATTACATCTAAAGCTTTGTTTCTAGGGCTCAGAATTTGGAAATATATTAATACTGGAATGCTTCCGATGGGGGGGGGAGAAAAGATCTGTTTATTATAATCTCTTGTCCGTGGAGATGAGAAAAATTCTTTCTGCTACATTTTACAGAAAGAATGCAGTTGGTGAAGATTTAAATGACAGGAATGGAAGGGTCATCTTTTCATTCTTTTGCCTTCAGGCAGGGCTCAACTTAAGTCATCTCAGGAAAGAGAACAGTGCTGTTGCTCCCAAAAATCTCCAGGTGAGAAGGATAAAAATTAAAACAGGCAGATGGGAAAGCTCTAAGGCCTTGAAATTAATAAAGGTCAGTTCTGGCTGACATTCATTTCAGTTAAAAATCGTTCCTATTTGCAAATAGCCTGACACTTAGCAACACTCCAAAGGAAGTGATGTTTGGCACCAGTTCTCTGAAAATTCCATTTAGTATTAGTATTCATGTCTGGTCATTGTTTTGTTCACCTCCTCTTCACCCTGACGGTGAGGAAAGTCCTGACTGAAGATTCTAGAATGACCAAACACAGGACATCCGACCCTGCACACATGGGATCAACAGCAGATTGTTAGTCTCATATACTCACAGCCCAGGGGAGGAAGACACAACACGCCCATAGAGCCACACAGAGGTTGCACTGAGGAACAGAGTGAACAAGAAAATGCTGTGGGGGGTGGGCTTTGTAGTAACAAGAGGATGAGGTGTACCTTGATTCCCAGGGTGGGATACGGTTGGCTTGATTCAGTGACTGTGTGGTCTGGCAGGGAAGTGAAACTTATTAGGCTGAAGACCAGGTGGAGTGCAGCTGGTCCAGCTGCAAGGAAGCTAGCCAGGTGGGAAGCCTTTTCCACTCAGGAGGGAAGGGAGTTCGCTTTCCCTTGGCTATATTTGGCCCCTCTCAGAGTAATATCTATGCCACACTTAGTGTGTCTCATGTGAGGAGAGTTGCTTCTGACTGGATAAATAAATATGAAGACATAAACAGTTTTCTAGCTAGACTATTCTCATGCCAAGCCTATATAATTAGCTAGATGATTCATGCAGAAGTATCCTTTGCTACTCACTTTGATTTGAATGAAAAGAGGAAGAGAGCTCGAAATCATCCAGACAAATTACATATTTAATTCCTCACTTGATTTCGATTTGTCACAAGGTGAATATTGACTAACTTGAGACTTAGAGCCAAAGGGCTGAAAATGGTCTAGCTCATGGAAGTGAAGGGGTTTCCGTCTTCCATTTGTCATGAAGAATTCTGTCAGGAAATGCGGTCAAGTCAAACTCTCTCTCCCTTTCCCTGCCAGTTAACAAGTGAAAAAATAAAGGATATGGGGAGACCAATCGTTTCAGGTGGAGCTTGGACATCTGATGTTAATCCTGGGCCTGTTTATAATATTTTGGGCAAGGCATTTAATCCCTCTGGCCCCCAAGTTCTGTACTTTCTCATGAGGAAGTCAAACTAGGCCAAGAGTTTTAATATACTTCTTTAGTGGCAAAACCCTCATTTCAAACAAAATTATAAAAGAGGAATGAAGTTTTTTGTTTGAGTCCAATGAGTGGAGCCCAAGCCCAATTGACCTGGCCTCTCCCTCACATTTCCTTCTCTCCAGTTCTTCCCCAAAGATTCCTAAAACACTTCCTCGAGAGCCTAGGGTTCCTTAGAACCCAGTTTGAAAACCAGCAAATGAGCTACTATCTCAAGTTCCTGTCAGCTTTCAGCAGAATGGAAAAATGGTAGGCTGGGTGGTCAGATAGACGTGGGTTCAAATCCTCGACCTGTCATTTCCTTCGCTGTGTTACCAGTTTCTCCATCTGGAAAGTGAAGATAAAAGTCTGTTTTAGGACAAATGCTACATTAAGAATGCATGTAAAGCATCCAGCCAGTGCCTGGAGCCTCACAGAGCCTCATGAATGGTAGCTATTATAAATATTATGGCTCTGACCTGAGCAGGACCAAACGAGGAAAGATCTTATCCATGAACTACTAAATTGCAATGAAACCTCTGTCATTCCTGCAGCCCAAACCCCACGAACTTGAGGCTAACATTTCTCTTTCGAACCTGAATTGGCTCTTATTGTTCTGAATTAGTGGAGGCGGGGACAGTCTTCTAATTGACTGAACATTTTGTATGTATTGGCGAGCATGTACTGTGTAGACACACCCCAGTTCTCTTAAATGACACCAAGGTCGAAGCAACCACCACAGATGGAATTTAAAGCACGTTGCTTTCACCAAAGAATAACAGGAGAAATGTCATTAAGAACACTTTAGTACGAAGCCACAAGAAATGTGGTACCTGACAGCTCATGGTCTGTATTTCACCCCGTATCATAAAACAATTCACCAGAGAGCATTGTTCGTTCGTGGACCTGCTGTTGTGATAGCCTGCTTTCTTTCGGTAGTGGAGGAGTTCCCCCATAAAATGCATCCCAGAAGTCTGATTTCTGAAAAATCTCACCTTTGGGGAATTTCCCTGGCATTCTATTACGTTAGCTCCACTTTATAGGTCCTCTAAATGTACAGTAGCGGAGACTCAAGTACAAGCCAACCATCCTGTTACCCTCACGAACTTACATCCGAGAGGAAGCTGATTCAAGCAAAGTTTGGACGCTCCCCTCCCTGTTTTATGAAGCTTTCCTTTTCTTTTTAAAATTTATGAACATTTCCAAACATATGCAAAAGTGCAGGATATCACACACCCCCATAAGCCTAAGGTCCAGCTCCACGATCAGTACTCCACCACTAGGTGGCAGTTCACCTGAGCCTGGGGAGTTAGGCCGGGCCCCTTCCACTTCAAGGGGACCCTTGCACTCCAAGAATGGCGGCCCAGGTAAGATCAGGTCTAACGGCCGCCCCCCCCCCCCCGCCCCCGAAGTTAAATCCAGTCCACACCCATTAAGCTCCCTGTGCGGTAGGCCATCCTGGAGAACCACATAGCGCCCCCAACGTAGGAAGGCACATAGCACAGTAGGAATGAGAGCAGAGAAGCTGAACACAGCAGAGAGAAAAGGGGGAACTTTGGGAAGGACTTTGTGGAAAGTTGGGATTTAACTGAGCTTTGAAGGAAACGGGAGTGCAGACGTTCCGGACTGAGGAGGAGGATGTAAGGCTAGGAAGCTAAGGAGCTGAAAGGCCATCTTTACAGTATGATTCATATTATTTTTTAACTCATTTTTTAAAAAAGATTTTATTTAGTTATTTGAGAGAGAGAGAGATCACAAGTAGGCAGAGAAGCAGGCAGAGAGAGAGGAAGGGAAGCAGGCTCCCTGCCAAGCAAGGAGCCTGATGCATGGATCGATCCCAGGACCTTGAGATCATGACCTCAGCCAAAGGCAAAGGCCTTAACCCACTGAGCCACCCAGGCACACCTGATTCATGTTCTAATGTGCTGGGGTAGGTGAGGCCGAGGAAGGTCTGGGAAGTTGCTAATGGGTGTGGAGACACGTGGAAGTTTTTAATCCCAGGATGAGAAAGATCCTTAGGAGTTGGGGAAGTTGGGGAGCTGTGCCCGGAACTGGGCAGAGTAACAACCATCTGAGCTGAGAAGGTAGCAAAGCTGGGGAGAGAGGGAAGCAGGAAGGACTGATGCTGAGAGGGAATCAGAACTTTCTCACCCTGAGCTCTGGAGAGGGGAGGTGAAGCCCGGGGGTCGGGGTGGGGGGCGGGGGAAGAACCCTCTGGCTCGGTCTCTCGCTCCCACAGAGAAAAGCGTGAGCCCCATGGAGACCACAACTCGAGGATGAAAACAGGAGCTTAAGCCCGGGCTCTGGGAGCTCCCTGCAAACACCATCGCCGGGAAAACACGAGCCCGGGAATGAAGAGAAGCGGCCGAAGCACCTGGTCGGAGTCTCCGAAACACCAGTGTTTACTAAGCACTTGGGCTCCGGACCGCCCTCCTTTCCAAACCCCACATCTTCCAGGCACTCCATCCCGCCACAGGCGGCTACTGTGCCGGCGCGCGGGGCGTGGGGAGCCGGAACCGCACGCCGGGCAGCCCGGGCCGCCCGCCCTCCGAGGAGCCGGCCCCCGCGGCCGGCCGGCCAGCTGCAGCTCGCTGTTTGTTTGCCGCGGTTTGCATACACATATTGGGTTGCCCTTTTTTTTTTCCTTCTTTTTTTTTTTTTTTTCTTTTTTTTTCCAGTCAGTTCAGCAGTGTCCCGAAATTCACCCCCAGTGTAACTTCTGCCTCTGCTCCTCCTCTTCTTGGAACTGCCTTTTGTTTGTCTGGCAGCCTTGGTTCTATGGGGGTGTGTGATGATAATAATACGCGGGCTTATATAACCCTCTTCATCTCGCAAGCACTTCGCAGACAGTCCCTAATGAATCTTCGGGCCGCTGTCAGGCCGGGTGGCTGGAGCGGGCCGAGAGCAAACCCCCAGCCCGGGCGCGCGGAGGCCAGAGGGGAGGGCGGTGCGGGTCAGAGGCCAGGCCTCCCTGGCTCCCCGCGCCTCGGAGGTCAGGGCAGATAAGGAACAATGACTCTCGGCCTGGGGAGGAGGAAGGAAGTCCCGCTGCCACCTTATCTCTGCTCCTGTGTACGCTCCGGGCTCCCAGAGCTTGTTCTCTAGAGAAGACTTGGAAGGCGGCTTTTGTAAGTATGATGCTCTGCTTTTGCTTTAAAAAGGAAGGAAACAAACTTTCCTTACTGCCTTTGTCCAGGTCACAGTATCTGTTGGTTAAAAGCATTTCCCTCTCTCGGATTCTTAGGTGATGGAAAGTGTGTTTCTGGCCCAAGCCCTCCGCCCAGTTGGGTCCCTCCTAAAAGTGATAGGACCGGAAAGAGGCTGGGGTGGGTAATTCATTTAACAGAAGAACCCCCAGGCCAGGGGCTGCAGTTGGCCACTGTGACCCGATCCCGGTTGTGTCTGACTGGTCTACACACATCTCCTCACCCTAGAGAGGAATCCTGGTTATTCACCTGGCGTGTCAGGCAACCAGAAAGGATGGCAGGACTTTAATCTTAAGTTTTTCTGCTTGCCGTGCTTGCCGTTTCAGACAAATTGAATTGCTGGAAGTTTCTTTTCACACTATGAAAGAAATCCCATCTTTCCGTGGAGGCTTGAAACTTGCACAGGCTTGTGTAAACTCTACAAAACCCTGTAACAGCAGTGGAAGTGTGATTTGTTACTGTTTTTCACTGCCTCGCTGAAGGGTCTAAATATTAAAGGAACATAGACACTAACTTCTCAAGCCCTGGCAAAAACCAAAGCTCTGTCATTCAACTGCGTCTTTGTAAAGAATGCTGAATGCAGGGTCATTTTCTCAGGGGAGATGCTCATTGCATTGAGAAATTGTCTTTCAACAAAATGAATTTAAAACCCTAGACTAACACTAAGATACAATCTCTGAACTTATTTCAGTTCTATTTTGGGTCGTTGTACAATTTGCATTTATAAAACAATCATGATAAGCTGGTGCACAGTGGCATATAGAAAACTACTGTCTTTGCTCAGGTAAGAAAACTAAGAAATACAGATTAGCAAGACCTCTCACTTTTAGTGCTAGAAGCACTCTAATGAGCTTGACCGTCTTTATCTTTAGATAAGCAGATCTGAAAACCACATATAATGGGTATGTGTAAATGTGTTTATACGTACAAAGTATGTGTGTGTTTATACATACAAATGTATGTAAGAGTTTAGGATAATTAAATATATATTTACACATACACATACTCTTACATTTCTTATATCTATCTGGTGCTCAGAATTTTACATGATATTATATCCAAAATGGGCCAAGTGGAAAGATTTCATATCAAGTTCAGAATGCTGTAGAGCTATTTATTCGGCAAACATAGGAAACGTTACAAAATTACTTCTATTTTAAAGAATCCCTTTAAATGACATTTCCACTTAGAATTCTCTGAGGATTCCAAGAAATTCTAAGGCATAATTAAAGTTGAAAATGAGACTGGATTGTAGTTGCTTTTACCCCTGAATTTAAAAGTGATCTGTCAACACTAAATTCTATATGCTAGCTAATTTAATTACAAAGATCACCCACATAATCTCAACATTAGCTTCAAAGGCATACTCAGTCATAGTAGAAGGAATACAAACCATGATGGGGTCCAGATTTGAGGCTTGCTTTTGCTATTACCTGGTTATATGACCAGCAACAAGACCTTTAAGATTTATAGCCTCAGGTTTCCCATTTATGAGATATGACCAATACCACTTACTCCAAAGACAGGATTGTTGAAAAGACTGAAAGGAGATAATATATGTGAACTACCTAGCATGGTGTCTGAAAATGGCGGTCTGTTTTAGGGCTTTTCCATTTCCATTTTCATCTTTGATTCAATTCATTCATTTATTGAGCATCTACTATGTATTACATGCTACACTAAGGAACAATGCTGCAAAGGTGAATGAGATTAATATCCTGCCTGGAAGAGTTTATAATCTAAGGGGACAGTTGGAAACAACAGATAATTTTCTTAACAGTGCACTACCTGCAAAAACAGAAGAGATTAAGATTAAGATTAAGTGACAGAATTGAAACCAGGGTGATTAGTTCTGCCTTCTGTCAGTCGAAGGAACTTGCGCAAAGATGACAGTGATTGCGTGAGTCTTATTAAAGGATCAGCAAGAGGTGTGGAAGGACCTTGCAGAAGAGGAGAGCTGGAGAGAAGAAAGTGTGAGAAAGCCTGGGGTTGAAAGCTAATTTCAGTTGGTGCTAGACTGTTGAACCTACAAGGGGCTGGAGATTTTGTCAGGGACCCAATCATGAATATTCTGGTGCCTCATGTTGAGGTGTTTAGACCTATTACTCTAATAAAACTCAAACTCATGCGTGGATCAGCTCGTGATCTTCAAAAAGTCTGTTTTATAGGTTCATATCGATTAAAAAAAATGGGCTGAAATGTAAACCAACTGCATCATTAAGACAGTATTTGATTTAATAGATGATGTATTTGTTTGTAGCAAAGCCATCCCAATGATGGAAGCATGGAGGCCCCAGCTCCTTAACTTACCACACTGACACTGTCAGGATCACTCTTTAATCAATGGGAATCAATTTGCATGGATCGAAGAAGGCAGAGAGCAGCTATGATTTTTGTTTTAGGAAGGTTTTACATAGAACATCTAGCATTCAGTACGGGGGGGTGGTGGGCAAGGCCAAGGGAGTTGGCAATGCTATAAACTAGGAGAGTGGTTCAAAGACTACTGTAGTGTACAGGGAGAAATTCCTAAGCAATGTAGGTGGACAAGTAGGACACAGATTCCAGAAATATTTAGAAGGTAGGACATTCTCCACTTGGGGGCTGAATGAGGGAATGAAAGGAAAAGGAAAGGTCTGTATTAGTTTTGGGCTCAAGGGGAATACCACAAAAACAGAAGGAGATACAACTTTGTAACAAAAAATTGGGTTATGGGGGGTTGAAGTGTCAGTAAGAAGATAGACTGCAACACTGAGTAAAAAAAATCAAAAAAGTGTTTTAGAAAGTATAAAATTACCCCATTGGGGGGGTGGATTTTAAGCTCATCGTATTATGCTTGATGCCCCCAAGAAATGTCAATATCTGGGCTTACTGGGCTCTGAGCTTTCATCTTGCATCCCTGCTGTTGAGCGGATTGTTTTTCCATTAACTTTTCAACAGGAAGGCCATGTCTAGGGCAGCCTTGCCAATAGCTATGCATACCTTTAAAAAGACTAATTTGTACTTCCTCTGAGCCTTCAGAAATTAGGAGAGACTAGGAAAAAAGATCTGAGGGCTAGTAGAATACTTATTGAGGAAGAACACTTATTCACAAAGAATATTTAGTCATAAAGAAGCAGCTCTTCCTTACCAGACTTTTCCATTCATTGCCCACGAATTAGGGGATGCACTTGGAGACTGGAGAAAAGGAGGTCATTTCTAAGACATTTCTAAGCAAATCCCATTGCTTAGCCTACAACCATCTCCTCCTTCCGTGTGATGGGCAAGTTCTTCCCCTGTGCTTGAACCGGGCATCATTGGAAGGTTGGGGGGTGGGTAGCATTTGTAAATTTTTAAAAGATGACAACTGGAAGAATTTTAACAGAATGAGTAGAAAACAATCTGATTAGCAGACAGGAAGCTGTGACTTTTTAAATCTTTGAGGTCTGATTACTTGATAACCTTAGTTTTCTTACACCTTTCACCCTTTCTGCACTCGGTGCTTAATCCCCATGTCAAAGCCTCCACTGGATTTCCTGCATTTCAGAGAACCTTCCCCACCTGAACACTTCAGAGCAAATACCATTTATTATGAAAGGGGCTCAGCCCTGGACTTCATGACTCGTCTCACAAGGTCGTATAATATTTCTTTCTGGTAGGCAAACTGTATCAACATATTTTAAAACAGATTTAAGAAGCTATTTCCACTTGTAAATAGAAAGAAGTCTCTCGCTCATCAGAAAGATAATATTTGGTTATAAGCTGAATTCTATCCGGCTTCTGATGGTTCACTTCAAAATTCTCCACACTTCAGAAATTATTCTGGGCTTTTGAAATCATGAAAAAGGTTTCTATTTTTACCAAAATGTTTCCGCCATAAAAGAAAAAAAAAAAAAGAAGAAGAAAAAAGAAAAGTTCCAAAAAGGAACGGTTACTATATCAGTTCTACAAAATAATCACCATATATATATTTTAGAAGATGGCCTGGCATCATGGAAAAGTTTATTATTTAAAGAAGAAGCGAGATCTATTTGGGGGAATTCCCATTAGTACAATAGAAAGTATGAAGAGTGTACTGAGCTTCCATATATGGTGTGGGCCATTCCGCATGTAGGTTACTCAAGCCATTTAAAGTCTTGGCTCCATAAGCGAGTGCTACACTCTTCAGAGTCTTTCTGGGTTTGCTGACATAATGATTTACTCCTGGCTGGGTGAGCTGCCTGAGCCACTGTCCTCTCCTGCCCAGTGTTTGAAGAGTGGGACAGGGTGCAGCTGTGCGGGCCCCTAGACACCTGAGTCCAGAAGATTGCTGAATTGTGCTCCGTTTCTGTGCTGTTCAGAAAGCTGGACACTCCCCAACTCTCTCTTGGGTTTGGCTTCCTGTTCACATGTTTTCTGGTCTCATGTCATTGTGCATGAAGTAATAGTCCCCCACGCGAGCACCATGCACAATGGCAAGATTTGTGTGGTTCAGTGCAAGTTTTCTAATGAGGACATTTTGGACCTTCCAACAACTCCTTAGGGAAGGCAATTTGGAACTGTTCTTACTTTCCAAGGCAGAAAGCAAGCACAGACAGAATGCACTTCTGCAACAAGACCAAGAGTCACTTTTAGGAGAAATTAAAGGACAACTGCCCAAGAAAACTACGCACTTACCCTACACATCTCTCTCCATGTGTATGCGTATACAGTGTAGAAAAATGCCTCCAACTCACAGTTTGAAAACATCAGTTACTGTTTCAGCATTTCACTATGAATGGTGCTAGTGTTTTCCACTGAGGACTGTTATTTTAATGACATTTCTCTGCAGCAAAATCGGATGAGTTGATGAAGTTTGAGAGCCAGGAAATGCAGCTCAGTTTCTGAACAACTGAAAGCCATGAGAGTCAAGTTCAATCACCTACTGGCTTTATAGCATGGATTCGTAAGTGCTAAGTACAGAAGCGCTCATACAAGAGAAGCCAAACCAAACTTTTAAAGTACGGCTGTTAAACTATCAAACTCAGCTTCCCAGTATATTATCAGCAGGTGAAATTCTGGCGCATAGCCGCATTTATTTGTGGGATGTTAGTGTCAAATTAATAGGCATAATTGCCAATGTTTTATAGAATTTTAGAGCAGAAAGGGATATTGGATGTCTCCCAATCTTATCTGTGTATTTTACAGAGAAACTAAGATTCATATGAGCGCTTGCTTTCTTGCTCTCTCTTTCTCTACCGCCCCACCCCCAACACGTGTTTGCGCAAGACACATCTGAGTCTTGGGCTGAGTCGTTGCTTACAGAAAATATCGTAAATCTGGCTTAAGAAAAAGAAAGGGCAAGATGACCCAGAGCCAGACCAGTGTGTGGCCCAGCTTCAGCGCCTTGTGGACCCACAGTTTATCCTTGATTCAGGAACCATTCAAGGTCTTAGATTAGGTGTTTTTGGCCAAAACTTGAATAAACTCCAAAACAAATCCGGATCAAGAGGTGACTCAGATCCTGACGATGAAGGGATCCTCCATCAGTGCATCGTACTTACCGGCGACCACAGTAGCGACCACGGTGTGATTAGAGTGTGAGACGGAGACGAAGCCCCAGGTATAACCCTCATGCTTTAGCAATCCTAAAACCTGGTCGAGAGATGAGCCCTTCACCCATGTAGGCAGCAGTGACAACAGAGAAGGAGGACAGGATCCAACTGAATGCTACATTGCGTGGCATGGATTTTTAAGTGATGGAGTGCTGGTGAGAGAAATGAGAATGGACATTGTTAGGAATTGTCAGGATTTCAGCCGATCCCAGTGGGGTGCTTAGAATTTGAATAAGTGGAGGGAATAAGGGCGGATTTTTCTAGATAAAGAACAGCAAAAATGAAAGTGTAAAGAAAGTCTTACAGGGGGTGGGGGGGAAGGGGGGGAACCCTGGGGAAGCCAGGCTGGTGGGTACTCTCCTATGCATTTCCCAACCTTACCAATGGACCCTGGAGCCCCCAGTCTCTCCTTATATTACTATCTGCTAAAATGTTACTGAAATATGTACCCTGAAAAACGTGTGTTAATTATTTGAATTATATTTATATAACTATACATCTGCAATAATAACACTGTATTTATAGCTTTGAAAATCCAAGAGAAATTGCTGATTAAATATGAACAAAACCATAAACCAATAATACTCTTTAATGTTAATTTTCTTTGCCAGATGATGCCGTTTTGCTGAAACTAAAGAATGAATATTTTAACCGTGTTCATTCATGAAATTGTAAAAAAAAAATAGAGACATTTTAATAAAAAGTTTCTATTGCACATTTATACTATGTCTATTTATAATGAATTGTTCAAAGAAGGGCACGTGAAGGAGGACAGGATCCAGGCAGAACCTCTGTTGCGGTCCAGGTTATGGAGCAGAGAGCGTGCTGGCTTACCCGTCCTATCACCTTGCTGTAATCTGGCCAATACGAGTTTATCCAGCACTGCCGGAAGCAATTCCCTCTTGTGGGTACATACTTAGCCAGGGATTCGGGCTGCTTACGTTCTCCCTCTAATAGCCTACAGCAATTAAATTGTTACATTATTCTCCCACACATTAACATTTTAATGATGACAATTCAGAGCCCTCATTTATAAAATTTATGAAAACTGCTCTCATTCCATGAAAATACCTTTTGATTGCAAATTACCACTGCAAGGGCAGTGCTATCTTTGTTATAAGCTAAGAAAAATAAATAAATAAATAAAAACCCAAGTAATAATGATGGCCAGTGTTTATTGTGTGCTTTCCATGGGCCACAAATCCTTCTAAAATTTTTACATGGATGTTAGTGTGTCATCTTCACATCAACCCTATGATCTTCAGTCCCCATTTTTCAGAGAACTCTGAGCCGTAGAGAAATTCAGTAATTCGCTCAAGTTCACTAGGCCAGTGAATGCTGTAGCCTGGAATTCAGGCATCAAATTCCAGGGTCTGCTACCCCCAGCAGGTTATTCAGAATGATCACAAAAATGGTGTTCTTTGGCCTTAGGCTATGCCAACATGACCACAGCCAGAAACTTAGAGCTTCATGCTCCCGTGTAAACATTCACTTCAGGAGATCACAAGGTGTCCTGCGTCGTCGTAAACAAACACATTTCCCTGTCCTCCAGGAACATGTTTAAAAAGTGGACATCTGTGTGATGCTTATAGTGATTTGTAATATTATCAGAGACATGGGAACAGAGAATGGAAAAGTTGTCCGAGAGCTAAGCACCTCCCAGGATGGGAAGCACAGGGGAGCAGCCAAAAGGAACCGGGTTGGGCGTGCCCGATGACAGAGAGTGGCGTAGATGGGTGGAGGAGCTGAGCCTCTGTCAGGAATGGAAAGAGACATGATAAGGGTGGTGTGGGAGGAAGGGTCCTGCAGCGAGAGGCCAGCCCCAGGGAAGCCCGGCTCTGTCAGTCTTGCTATAAGAACGAAGCTTCCAGAACAGAGAAAAAGGACTTGGTACTGCCCACGTTTAGCCTGAATCTGCAGGGCCAGTTCAGATCTGGAAGACATTCCAGGTCTGTTGTATCGAGGGAAATAATCTATACCCACTACCTCTGAGATGCCCCTCCGTGCGTACCAATAGACAATCGTTTTCACTAGTGAAGAGGTAAGGAAGCTCCAAATGCAATGTTCTAATATTTACATGGGCAAGAGAAGCACTTTTTAAAGGTCAAGGAAATTTGGGGTGTTAAAGTGTGTTATTGTTTTAAAAAGTGTGTTATTCTTTTATACTTCTGATAGCTTATATTTCCTTGAAAGATATGTATATATGTATGTATATACATATATATATAATATAGCTTCTATTTCCTCTTCTATACTATATACCATATGATATATACGTGTTAAAATGTGCTATTTGTGGCAGCAAGATTGCATCATCAGATGCTGCGTTAATCTGGGTGTTTCCTCTTATTCGAAGTATCTAAGTTGATTTTAGTTATTTATATTTTTCAACTGCCATAAATGCAGAATAGAAACAAACTCAACCACTTGTCGAAGCTCACTTTGCTGCTCATCAAATAATAGCTTAGAGCAGCTTTAGGAGATTTTATGAATCAGCACGTTCTCCTTCCAAACTGGCCTCATAACCTGAAATTCGGTGTCACTCCGCTTTTAAACTTGGAACGCTTAGTAAACTTTTAAAAAATTCTTTATTAGTTTTAGGAAATCCAGTCAAAGCATAATATGAAATGAATCTAGGGGAAAGTCTTTCCCTTGATGAAGAAAGAGACGAATGGAGCCTCCTACGAGAGCCCTGAATTACCCACCGTATTTCAAAGTCTCTCGCAAGTGATTGTAAGAAAAGCAGTGTGGATATAATTTGGAGCCTATTATTCCTAATGATGTTCCCCTTTGAAGTTTGTGAAAGGGCGCCATCTGAGAGATGAGAGAAGCCACTGGTAAAATGCAACTGAGGGCACATTTGCTCTCCTCCATTGTAGGTGCTGACGGCCACCCACCACCCTCTGAAGAAGGCGATATTGGCGGATGACATGCAGGTTCTCCAAGACAGAATAATTGCAGAAAATCTTCAAAGGTACTCATATCAAACATTTAGCTCTTGCTTAATTAAACCAAGGTGCTAATTAAACCCCACGAGCACCCCAAGTCATTTGAAGAGAGACTGTTCCACGGGTGGGGAATTGTAAGAAACTGAGAACGGCACCTTCCTATAGCCTTTTCATCCTTCCTGGCTGAGAGAGCTAAAAGGGGCCTTAACTGTGGTAAAGCTGTTGCATGAAATTAGTCTTCAGGAATGGCAAAAGGAACACCTGAGTAATGAGTATCTAAAGAATCAGGGGTGCCCAGCTGTCTCTGTGGGTGGAGCCTGTGACTCTTGATCGTGGGGGTGTGGGTTTGAGCCCCACATTGGGTGTAAAGATTACAAGAAGGAAGGAAGGGAGGAAGGAAGGAAAACAAAGAATCAGGACTTTATTAACATGTTATGAGCTGTTCGGGAGGCTTAGGGGAATCAGAGCCACAGTGAATGGCAGGCCAACTCCACCCAGCCCATCCACAGTCTCTGGCGAAAACTACAGATGTTACCAGTCCTGTTCATAGCTTTGCCTTCACAGTTTCTTGCCTTGGCTAAGTAAATATTAGTGCCAGGGTGTTGTGGTACCAGAAAGAGTTACAGAGACCCACCTAAGCAATACGACCTTAGCTACAAAAACATTCTTAGGGGTGTTGATTCGCCCCTAAGTTTAGTTGTAAACTTAGGTGAGTTTATTGCCTCATGTGTCTCTTCCCAAAGGTCAACACTGAAATTTGTTCCCTTCTACCCCAACCAAATGAATGCAGTGGAAACCATTGAATTCCTGTTGGTTTCAAATTGCAGCTCTTCAAAATCATTACCCTTTGCTGGCTTTTCATTCTAAGCCTTGTGTTGGCCCAGGTTGTCTTGGAAAGAGTCCTCTAATCACCAAAAAGTTTATGAACCTCCCACAAACAAAAAAAAAAAAAAAAAACAAGTCTTCAACAGGTCTGGCCTGAATTTCAGGTTTGTCTTTTGAGGATTGATTTATTCGGCTTCTCTTTCTAATACTTAATGGAATTGAGCATTTTGTGTCCACACCACAAATGGCAAGTTTAGCAGGGAAATATTTGGAAGTGTACAGAAGTCTGGGATTAGTTCCTTGACAGAAAATCGTGAGTGTTGCCAATTTTTTTTTTTCTGTAATTCTCAGTGCTTTGTGTGCAGATGATCTGGGGTCTCACCAGGAATGTATTAGAAGCTGGTTATCCACAAGGTAAATCAAAAATAAGAGAAAACAAGTGCAAGTTTAGGTCTCCTTCCTTCAGAACTCCAAACAGGAGAGAAAATATTCTAAAACAGAAACTAAAGAAAGGTATCTGTTTAGAAATGAGCTTGATAAACAGTAGAATTGTGACTTCTTAAGACTTCTTCATCTTCTTGAGTCAGCTCTCAATTTAATGGGTAATTTTACTTTAAGCATTATATCCTTTTCATTTTTCAGCATATTCTTATTATGTGAAGAGAGAAATGTGTTTGATATTGGTTCAAGTTAGAATCACCTGCTCACATGTAACACACAAAACACTTACTTCTTAAAAATCTGTAGGCCCCCTCGGAGAGATGTCTCCAGTCTGCTTTTTCTGTCTTTGGACTGGAAAATTGAGATTCAAAGTCCCACCAAGTGCCAGCTTCTAACTCTCCACCCTTCCTCATCCATCATTTGAGCTGGATTAGATAGGCAGCTGAGTCACTTTTCACCACCACATCTGTGTTCACAGATCCACAGTCCTCCCATCTGGTAAATTTTGTAGAGGGAAATGAATCCTTTCTCTGTGTGCTCAGACAGTCAGGTTTATAAAATAAGGACTATTTTAATGAGCCTTAGAGCTTCAAAATGCTGCCTTGTGCAATTTTGATTGCCTCTCTCCTCCTGTCATCTGAATATAAAGCTCATTCATTTAATATTTTTCCAGCTTTAAAAACTACCTACCTGCCGTTCACTGAACTTGGCATCACCTCCAAAATACATAACAAGAGAAACAGAACCAGGAGATGTTATAAGCACAACTCAGAAGCTGCCTAAGCATCTCCTGACTGTCCGATCGCCAGAAGATTTTCTCTCGGTCCAAGGAAAGATAGATGGTGTGCACATACAATAAGACAACAAAAGGACAATTAAATTTCACAGCTTGGGGGAGATCGTGAGGGTTCTCGTCAAAAATGTTCACACCTGGGGAACAGACTGTTATTTTTTGTGGAGCCTGGTTTTCAGCTTGAAATACACCTGCCAAAATCTGAATGGCCACTATTGTACGTTCTGGACTCAAAAACTGCACTGTCAGACAAGGTTTGGGGCACACAGATGGGATAAGTTAGAACAGCGGCTATGTTGTTTGTAAGGAAATTAAGACCTTTCCTAGCCCTCTTGATGCCTACATAGGATGGAAAATTTTATCATAAGCATGTCTTGGCTGTGCCTCCCTGGCACTTGATTGTTTTTTTTATATTACCAATAATTTAAGTGATACTCAATACCTTAATTTACATTTAAGAGGTTTTTTTTTAATTGTCCATGGACTGTAATAGTAAACTACATCTTTTCAAGGGACCACCTCCAGACTTAAACACTAAAAACTGCTCAAATGATCTTTGTCTGGGTATCCACCAAGCACTTAAACTTGCTGTGGAATATAAAGAGCTGAATTTGGGGGTGCTAAGAAGCTAACTCTTTTCCCTTGTGATCATTCTTGCCCTTAACATTTCTCATTGCACATCCTAGTGTCAGTTAAAATAATGCATGTGCTGTAAAACAATGTAATAGCGATCCAATATGATTTTTTTGTGTGTGTGCCAAAGCACACACACACTTAACTCCAGCCCCTTAAGTTTTTTGTATGCCCTGAGGAATCATAGAAAATTGCCACTATTTGAGTATTCTTGACCTACAAAAGTAGCAGTTTCATAAGGTACCACTGAATATCTTCTGTAATTGGAAACTCGGAGAATATACAATTTTATTCTGATTCTTTTCACTATTGTATCGAAACGATCTTCATTTTCTGCAGTGTCTTCATAGTTCATTCGTTTGAATTGGGGCATCATTCTCTATTACACGGATGTGGGGCTAACGTCTTCTCCTGCATCGTCCTTTCATCCCTCCGAAACTAAATACTTTCCCCTGTGAGTCATCATGCAAATCTAAGTGATAAAGCAAGAGCTAGTGTGCGCGTGGGTACCAACGTGCACACAGGCATACGCGCCGTTAAATGGAGCTGTTTAGACAGTAGCTCCTCGACGCCAACAAATTTGTGCTGAAAGAAAACATCAACTTCAAGAGGGTGAGAAACACTGCACCCATCAGCCTGTGCCACCTTTCGCTAGCTTTTCTCTATTTCCATCTGACTCAGTGAGACCTGTCCCAGCAGATGGTCCTCTCAGTACGCTCTGGCTGCCAAGAGAATAGAGCTTTGTCTGATATGGCCAGGAAACAAACTCCGGGGATATTAACCAACCGGAGGAAAACCCTTTGCTCTTGCCATAATGATACATTCAGGCAGGAAGTTAAGAGGAAAATAGCTTCTCCCCTGGAGATGAGGAGTGCAGAGGGGGAGGGAGAGGAGCAGTTTAATTATGATCAGGGTGGGGGCGGGGCGATGGGGACAGTCACAAGTGGAGATCAAAAAAAAAAAAAAAAGAATGGGATGATGTCATTCTTTACTGGGACAGTCACTGAAATGAAATCAGGTCACACACAATGGTCTTGTTCTGTGCCTGCAACCGTAAGTGTTATAAGAGATTACTTTGTGGCGATGCTTGTTAGGAAGTGTCTAAGGGCGCTGCTCACATTAAGACATCTTCAGGATGGATGAGAAAGGTAGAATCATCCCATCCAGTGCCGAAATGACCCGCATGGATTACACAGCATTTGTTTTAAGATCACTTAGCCACAGTTTAGGAGAGAAAAAGTCTGGATTCTTATAACAGTGAATTTTAAGAAGCAGAATGCAACTCTACAGCTTGGTTTCAAACCAGATGTTTTAAACTGATGCCCTTTCTCATAGGATAATTTTGAGTGGCATTTTAAAGTTAAGGCGGAATATATTTCTCAGTATAAAATTGCATTTTCTGAAAAGAAACACTGCCTTGTTCTATGTTAGGGCATTTTTAGGCCTGATTAACTCTGCTTACATAGGAAGTATTTCATTTGTGTCGATGTTGAATCCCTAGAGCCACTGGTGGCAGATATATTCAAATTTAGGTTCCTTCTCTCAGTGATGTCCTAATTTAACCTCATTCATCTGCTTCAAGTTCACAAGAGGGCATCACAATTACCAGTAAAGGTTAGATTTTTTAAGAAGTCATCCCTGAAATAATTAGGTGATAGGGTCAAATCCTGATATTAAGATTCTGTTGTAATTGTATTATAGGGCTTAAAACAAATAAGTCATTGACTAAGGCTTTTTTTTTTTTTTAGGATATTTTTGCTGTGCAGGTATTTACAATAATAGAACTAGAACACTGTAGGCTTTTTACATTCATATCTGCAGGGCACAGAATTTACAAAATTTAGTGTTCAATGTTGGTAAACCACTGGTCCTGAGGTGCATGTGTATTTTCAGGGACAAAGTCCTTCTCTCTTTTGTAGACTTTACAAAAGTGTACAAAAATTAGATTGCAGTAAGAATTCATATTTGCTTTTTGATTTTACTTTCAAATTACTAGGGAATCTTGCGTGGTCATCACGGGTACAGGGGACGTGGAGATATAGATATATATATATGACAAATGTCTTTGAAAGTTGCTGCGGACTGTGGCTATTTGGCTATTACAGGGCAAAGAGGCACATTTTGAAGGAATCCTTTTGGGGGGCAGATTCCAACACAAATTTCAGTGGTTTCTGCTGCCTTTATTTTTAAATGAAAGGTGATGAGGCTACAGGAGCTTTGAGAGAGGATAATTATTTAAAAATAAAAAGTAACCAAAATATTTCCAAACAAGTGATCAGCATCATGAGAAACCCTCAGGTTCTCAAGACAGTGTTTAATTTTCTTTTCCGTTTA